CCACTTTATAATATAGAAAGATGTTGATTCAGGTACATGTTGAACTTGTTCTGCCTCCACACACCAGCTTGGATTACCTGTTCAATTCAGATTCAGTCACATTTGGGATTCAAACAGTTTAGCTCTGTCTATAATCACACAGATATTGTGGTACATCAAGCAATGGAACGTTTTGTTCAACTGTATATATCAGTATCAATCTGATTTTGAGTCTTAAATCTAAAATCGATCAGATGGTTCTTAGTGTGTCAGCATTACTCAACACTCAACACCCTTTCTTAATGTTCCCAACCCAAAATTATGCTCTGTGATCTTCACAAGTGTTACAATTACGCTAGATTTATGGTCAAAAAAAATGTGCTGATAGCATGGTTTTTTTGTTGCATTAGTGGCTTGTGAACACAGAGACAGGCGGTTGGTGCTGTAACTGTTGACTGACCCGTGAAAACTTTCATTAATAACTTACATATGTCTCTTCTGCACGATTTTTTGTTTATAAGCTTCCTCATGAACACAAATTTGCTCTTTTGCTCAAGCTATTGCAGTCATAGTCTTGTAAGCTGTTTTTTTATTTCTTAACAGCTGTTTAACATACTATTCAGCAGTGTTCAAATGCAATACGAATTGCATAGAAATACATCAGTTTTAGTAAGGATGACACAAGCAGATTTAAAAAACCCAAGTGACCGATTTGGAATGCTCAACATAGACAGTATTAAGCTAAGCTAACAACAGTCATTACTTTACAATAATAAAAACTGCAAGTTTCATCCTCAAATCAAACTCTTCAGTTTAAAGGGTTAGTTCACCCCAAAATGAAAAACGTATTTATTCACCATCATGTCGTTCCAACACAAATTAAGATATTTCTTTCCCCCCATTCATGGTATAAAGTTTGTTGTTTCGCCCATAACTGGAGTCATAATCATGCAGATTTTGGCTATATGCTCTGAGTAGTACTGTACAGTAAGAAAATGATATCCCATACCCCGGATATTGATCATTTCTTAGAACTAATAAACAATTAACACTCAGTGTTTGTTGGACAAACAGGTTAATTGATTGTAATATTAATTATGCTATAGATTGAGTTAATTATATCAACTGATCCATATATTTATAACCAATTATAACTAGTTCTAATGATAATATTTTCCTTGAAGTAATTTGCTACAAACATGTCTGAGCAATTGAACAAAAAAATCATTTTACAATTGACACTTTTTTTAGTATTATTCTCAGTTTACTGCCAGTTTTTCTAAATTGCTGCCAGTTTTTTATCACTTAAAACTCATTTTGATCACCAAAAATACACATTTAAATGTTTTTTTCTTGATTTATGCCTTAAAATAGTTTGAATGTACAGTAACTCTACATCCTTGCCCTTATTTATGCATTTCTATGAATATGTAAATTAGCCCCACCTCCACTCACTCACACCAGCTCAGAAATCCAATCATTGACAGTCACACGTTGACGTGATTGGTTACAAGTTTTAAAGAGAATATACTCAACATCAACAATGGTGTTGACTTATGAATTTGCACATGGTTTGTTTTAAAGCATAAAAACACCACATTGGATTTTCACCATAGGGGGACTTTATATATAGCCTAGTTTTAGAACTGTATACTGACAGGCTAAGAGATTTAGCAAGGGTGGGCAGTTACCACACTGAAACAGATTGTTGCAATCGTTATAGGTTCATTGGTTCATTTTCTTCTGCTTCGGGCTCAAACATATATAATGCTATTAAAGTGCTGGCCATCTTGAGCATCAAAACACTCATCACACATGTTGTTTGTTGATGCGGTGCAAAGAAGTTCATCAGCCATCACACAAATTTACTTGCGCTTCTGGAAGGGGAAATGCCCCTCGAGTGTGAAAATGAGAACCCCTTTAAACCCATTAAACATTAGCCTCTGGTTTCACAGACAAGGCTTAAGCCTAGTCCCAAACTAAAATGCAGGTTTGAGCTGTTTTATCTGCAAACAACTTGCACTGACATCTTAAAATATAGATCAAGATGCACACCAGTAATGTTAGGACTTAGATGTCCTAATTGAAATAACACTGGGCTGTATATCATGCCAGTGAGGAGTGACAGCTCTTCTCTGAGAGTGTGCGCTTAACAAAGCCCAGCTGTCACATGTTCCTATTTGGCCCTAAATTGAGCGGAACAGGTAGGCCAGATGCCATGCTTCACCAATTGGATACAAATCACACATGCAAATCCAACAGAGAGTGTTCTCCTGGCAGAGTGAATGAAGTGCAAATAAGTTGTTCTTGCTGAAGGATGGACCCCCCAAGATGAAAGCGGGTAAACTTGAGGTTACGACTAAGAAATCTTGTGCCATTATCAAGCCTTGTGCAATGGCTCAAGATTTCTTAGTTTTAACCCCCACTGCGAGTCTCAACATGGTTCATATGGATTATTGGATCCTCATGTGTAGATATTAATTCATTCATATTTCAATAAATCAGCTAACTGCATGGAACAACTTTTTACAGAGCCAGACTTTTGATTATCAGTGTAGCCTATCAGCATAAGTCTGGTCAATGTTGTATCTTAGTCTGGCTAAAAACTCAAACTTCTAGGATTATATATTTGTGTCTATCCTAAGGAACATAACAAAATCACATATACACTTATTTGATATTTTTATGATGTATGCTATCTTATAAAATTGTTGAATTGTATGTCAGATATTGATGAAATTCCTATAATAATGTTCTATTGTGAAAACTTGCATGTACTTGTAGTCTAACAGCATTCTCCCACTAATGCATGTTCAGTAAACTAGACCTTGGCAATGGTTGAAATGTTTTGTAGTCAAGACTAATACTGTAGTTTTCACTGGACTGTTGTGCACAGTTGTGCTTGAATTAAACACTGAAATGTCTTTCAAAGAATCTGTGTCACTAACAGGGCAGAACTTTGCAAATCCAGCAATATTTCTTTATTGCATGTGCTCATTGTTGCAGGCAGCCTAGAACAAAATATTGTTTGTTTGTCTTTTTTTTTTTTTGTTGCAGTCATCTGCACGTACAAAGCCCAACTAATCCAATCTTTATAGACTAATCAATCATAATATAATAAATGATGAGTTTTAAGTTTTGGATTTAGACTTTAAACAGCCATGTGCTTACTTTCTTTAAACATATTTGATGTACACATATTTTAACTTATTTATATTATAGTGTGCATCTGCTTAATACAGACCCTTTTTTGTGCAAGATCTTTGATGCCATGTCATTCTAGAATGTAAGTTTGTGGTTAAATATATGAGGCTTGAAATTTCGCTAACTTGCCCATTTTAATGGTCCATCTTGCCAGCTGCAGTCTTGTATATTTTGCCAGTAAATCACATGATTTTGTCACATGACAATTTCCCCATTGGCTATATTGTTGTGATTGAGTTTTTCTCAGTCTTGACCTTTTAACCAATTGAGTCTTTACATAGATGTGCTCTCGGTCCTCCTTGTTGATCAAATTAGCCTTGTTGATTTATTTTAAAAATCTTAGTTTATTTCCATTCTTGAATCAATCAGATTCAATAATGAAAGCCATTCAATCAAAGAAAGCCATTGTGCCAGTCATGTCATTTATTGTAACGTCATGTGTTTGATTTGGCATGGTACTTTTTTGTAGTGTTTTGCTTCTTATGCAGAATATGTACCATGACCAGTGATTGGTCAAGGAATTTATTTTTATTTTTTTCATATGCCCCAAAAAGTGTGTTTACAGCATTTCAATCAGGGTTTGCTAACAACATGTTTGTGTGTCATATGAATCACCCTGCATTTAAAAGATTCACAAATATTTCTGTAATGGCTTTTAAAAGGGTACAGCGTTTATTTTGCAAACCTCAACATAATAATTTTTTATCTGAACCTTACACTGTAAAAAAATATTTTCAAGATTTGTTATCACAACATGTTTTCTTTTGTCAAATCAACTTAAATAATTTATTTAGTTGAGATAACTTATTATTTTGAGTTTCTGATGATTAAATTAATCTCCTTCATTGTATTAACTCACTTTTTCCAGTTAAATCAACTTAAAATTTTAAGGCAACCAGGTTACTTACTTTTTTTTTTAGGTTAAAGCAACAATATTTTTTTTTTTACAGTGTAGTATGTTTTGTGCTTCATGCCTTCCCATCTTCTTTAGCAATCTGTCAGATGCTTTTCCGGTTAACTCAATTCAGTTGACACCATTTAAATCAAGGGAATATTTTAATGGAAGAAGAGGGTCATTTTAAGCCCCGTCAAACACATGTGGCTTAACTCCAGGACATGAATAGTGTACATCAGCGATTGTGTAATACCCTGTGTGGGTCATAACTGGCAAAGCATATTCATTCCTGAGCTGATTTTGGCACACTATGATCTATTGCCATGATAATGCACTTTCATCAAATGCTTTTGTTTTAATAATGGATCAGATTGAGTTTGTCCTTCATTTCTTTAACTTTGTTTTGGCAACCTCTCTCAGTGGCTAGATTTTAAAATAAATAAATGGCTTGTGCTAAAATTCTTAAAAGAAAATGCTGCCCATCTTCATGCCTGTATGGAATTCTGTTCTTGAAATGTGGCTTTCCTCAAATTACAATCCAGTGCTCATACGAAATGTTTTTGAAACAGCACTGTTGTTTTAGAAAGGCAAACTTCAAATGTGTTTCAACAAAGTCCTGGTAAACAAGAAATTGTATATAATTTATTTAAAAAAAAACATCTAATATTAATGGGTCTTGCTAAATTGTTAATTTGATGTTTTAATTAATTTTTTACATAAGTATAGTCGTGGGTGCTGACGGATGAACGTTAGCTAATAAAGTAAGTGTTTGCTGACTGGTAAAACGCTCAGCACCATGCCCAGCTGTTTTGAATAAATGCTTCATTGATAAAAGACTGTGCATGCATAACTTCGCCTATAGGCAAAACAAGGACTTTCTCTGATGTTGTGTTTGACCTTTTTTCTTCTTGTCTTTCCTCAGTTGTCAGGAGCAGCTGTGCCCTGTTGGAAAGAGCAGTAGAAGATCCAGTGCATCCAAATCCTTTTGACTACAGTCCAGTTGAAGACATTAAACGTAAAGCTGATTATTTATTTGCTCCCTTTTCCTTCGCCAGTTGTTTTCTTTCTTATTGTTTCACTAAATGTTCCTAAATGGAGTTTATCATTGCAGTCATCACATTCAACTGAGAAGAAACGTGGATCTGGTTAAGTTTTCCACCCACTCAGGGCACTTCCCATTGGTTTCAATCGAATGTCAGAGTGGCTTTGTGGTTTCTATGTGGTCTGTCTTCATCAATAGCCTTACATGATTCCAAAGACAACTTGTCTGTGTCTTTCCACTGGAATGCCTGATGACAAACCGAAAGCCCTCAAGATATCCCTTCTCTAGTCCAAACTGACATACCCTTGCCTTAAGTATTTAATTTTATTATAAAGTTTTGCATTTTTGGATGGATTTTAATCGAAAAGGGAGTACAAAACGGTGTAATTTAATTTTTCTTGAAGGCATTCCAGCAATTTCTTCCCTAATCTGTTTACAACCAAGGCCACTTTTTCTTAACCCTTTTAATTACTGACCGATAATATTTGAAAGGTTAGATGTAGGGGATTCTGTGTATATGCATTGTTGTGTGTCTGTAGTTACGCTTTAGTTTAGTGTTCATTTGGCTTTATGCATAGCTACTTCCTGAACTTCAGCCAGCTCCTTGTTTCCTGTCTACCATTATTGGACAAACTGATTAATTCAGGTGTGCCTGATTATTGTTGTTGTGACTACTGAGGTCCAATAATAATGGCAGACAGGAAACAAGGAGCTGGCTGAAGTTCAGGAAGTAGTGCAGATGTGCATAAAACCAATTCTCACTATGACTTTAGTTATTGGGTTGGTTTGTAGGTATTTAATTAGCCTTTGTTTCCCCATGCTACTTTGCGCGATTTTATTCACGCTGCTAGGTTCCATGATCCAGATTTTCGCTAGCCTGGTTAAAATCAGATCATTCTCAGTTGTAACTAAGTTATCGATGAAGGACGGGTCCACCTTCATCATGTAGCCAATCAGATGAGCTTCTCACTGACACTCAGTTTACTCTTATCTGATTGGTTCAATAAACTGATTGGTTCAATTTGGCTCAGAAATGTTCTCATTGCTAAAATGGCACTTTTAATGCACACATACATACATTCCTCTTTTGTTTTAGTTTGTTGTCATTGCTTCTTGGTTAATTGGTTCTGTTCTTTCAGTTCCCTTTGTGATATGTTGCTTTGGTTACTCATTGTTTTAGTTCTCATTTCAGGTGTTTCTCATTTGATTACCCTTGTTTGCTAGCTCTATTTATCTCTGCAGTTTCAGTTCTCTCCGTCTGGTGTTAGTTGAAGATAGTCGCAGATGTGATTCATTGTGTTAATTTTTTGTGTTATTGCTCATCCCCTGTGACTATTTGGATCATCTCCTTTTCACACACCGTCAAAACGGTCAGGCTCTGGAGCAGGATATAGAGCAATTCCTACCATCTGGTGAGCTGGAGCACTCGTATGTTCAAGGCCTGTTTTCGGGAGGATTTATATCAGTTTCCGGTAAATGTGGTACTTCCTTGGTTGATTATATTAAAGGGTTAGTACCCCAAAATGAAAATTCTGTCAGTAATTACTCGCCCTCATGTTGTCCCAACCCCGTAAGACTCGTTCATCTTAAGAACACAAATTAAGATTTTTTTTTTTATTAAATCGGAGAGCTGGATCACTCCTCCATTGGCTTCTTAAGGGATTGAAAAACTGGCCGGCCCAAAAGTTATTAAAGACATCGTTAGAAAAGTGACTACAGTTTCTCAATCTTAAAGGAGTAGTTCACTTTTAAAAAAAAAACATTTGGTGATAATTTACTCACCCCCATTTCTTCCCCCATGGAAGAAAACCGGAAGTGTCGCTTTAAATCATAGGAGAGTCGCGAATACGATGGGGTATTGTTGTGTTTAATGTAGAAATGTGTTATTCTAAAATGTACATATTTCTTTCATAGTTTAGACTATATACAGTGAACTTTATAAATTTGTAAATACATTTTTTAAATATAGATAGTCAGAACATAAAAAGAAGCAGGAACGAATTATATACATATCCTATATTGGATATTAACATTTAATAGTTTAAATCGCGGCAGCAGCTTCAGGTTGGTAGTCCAAGACATTGTTGTCTATCTGTACTTCCGGGATTCTTCCCACCGGAGCCTCGCTTTCGATTTCAAAATGGCAGCTGCGTGAAATCAGCGTATTGTTGGTGCCATCCTGGACACTCACTAGTTTGCCTGTATCACCCTGGTCGCCTGCCCTTTCCCTGGTTGGACACTTTACCTTTGTTTTTGGCGTGGGGTCGTTTTCCTTTCTACTGTAGTTTGTTGTCATTGCTTCTTACTTATATTGGTTCTGTTTGTTCAGTTCCCGTCACGTTCTGTTGCTATAGTTACTCATTGATTCAGTACAACAGTTCAGCAGGTGTTACTCATTTGTTTGCTAGCTCTATTTAATCCTGCAGTTTCAGTACTCTCATTGTCTGGTGTTAGTCGAAGATAATCACATTTGATTGTGTTAAGTTGTTGTGTTATTGTATTTCCCCTGTGAGTAGATCTCAGTTTATGGATTAAAGTGAACCTTTTTTGTACTCTTGTTTCCTCCTGTGCCTTTATGGGAGTGTTCAGCACAGCAGCACCTGATAATAGTCTTATTCTGTGTTTATTATTCGACATTTGGCCAGATATGCCTGTTGCTGATATACATGTTATTCTAACTTCAGTTCCACATATCCAGACAAATGAATCGTTTCTCTATTTTGATTAGTATTTCTATTGCAGCTGATCCTGAATTTAAGTAATTATTTTGCCACCTAAGTATACAGTAAGTTGTGACATCCCTTCAACCCTCTGATAGTGCTACTCCTTCATTCCGCAGTTTCCTTCTGTGACTTTGAATCTCCATGTTCTTGGACGTTATCCAATCACAGCACTGGAGGGGACTGGTATGTTACATCACCACAGCAACACAGATCCAACAAATGGGGTGTCCAGCCAATCAAAGATTATTCCACTGGGAAATCTGAAGGTAACTGATGACTTCCATTCATTATATTATCAATCAGTTCAGAACAATCAATGACTGGCGGACTCCATGCAGGAGCTCTGGAAGAAGGCATATATTTTGCATAAAATGTTTACAGCAAAACCTTGACATTTTAATCAATCATTGGCAGTCTAGTAAGAGTTTCCTGTCTTTCAACAGGTCATTTTCTGTTACTAAAGCCCACCTCAACTCATTTTGCTGCTGGCAGATGTACTTTCCACATGACCAGTCCTGTAGTGCTCAGCAGTGGACCACTATGTCATCTTCGTCTCGCTCGTTTCCAACCAGAACCATTCAGAGGAAACGTATCTGCCTTTGTGAAGCATACTGACAACTCCGTCATCAAACCAATAGCCCTTACAATCAAGGAACAAGGAACTGGCAGGTGAGATACAGCTTCAGCTTTCTATTTTAATAAGTTGTAATTTATTCCTTAAGACAAAGCTGAACTTTCAGCAATTATTACTCCAGTCTGTCCCATTATCCTTCCGAAATCATTTTAATATGCTGATTTGCTGCTTAAGGAACATTTCTTGTTATCAATGTTTAAAACAGTTGTGCTGTCCTGGTTTGTATTTTTGTGGAAACTGGGATGCATTTTTTTAAAGTTGCAAGTTTTATACAGAAAAATTTAAAAATGAATTATTTTCTAACATTCTAAAATGTATTTTCTGCCACCACATCAATTCAATGTATCCTTTCTGAATATTAATTTCTTTCAAAACAAAGACTCTGACCCCAAGTGTGTGTGTGTGTGTGTGAGAGAGAGAGACAACAGTATCTAAATGTCTTGGTGATGTCGTGATGGATATATGATTGACAGATCATACAATGAGAACTGACATTTTGCAGTGCAAAATGACAAGCAATGACAAATGCGCTTTACTTACACAAAGAATAGTTTAAAGCAGCATTCTGTACCCGTAAGAAACAAATGATAACCAAAAGACTTTTTGTTATGGAGATGTATTTGGTATTGATTTTCTTATGCTGGGCACATCATGAACAAGATGGATGAAAGCATTTTGTTTCTAAAACTAGGACCTGATGTTTCTTTTGGCATAATTGGTTCCGACAGAAAGCTAGGAATAGATGGTGATGCAATGCAATTTGGCACAAGATGGTACGTTTATGACGTAGCTAATATACTTTTACTTTCTGCATTTGGCTACTGTATATGGATCTGAGCTTAATAGAGGTTACGCTATGCCATGTGATGTATAAAAAATCAGTCATATACCTAATAATAACCAACTCGGAGATTCATGTTTGGTATACAGTGCATTAGCTCTCCACTGTGTACTTAAGCTCCTGTACATTTAGTGAAGCACTCTCACATGCAACTGTAAAAAACTCATGTAATAGAAGTTCCACAATGCCAGCTTTTCTCTTGTAGTTCTTTAGTTCAATACTTTTTGTTGATCTGTGGTTCATTTTCTGAAAGCGGCTATTTGAAAAATGAAACAAATATGTAAAACTGTCAAAATGGTACGGAGGGGTATATTGCATTCACTTGAAGAAAAAAAACTACTCTGTTTTTCTGAATTAACAAGTTAATTATCTCAGAATTACGAAGTTTTTCACGAGAATTTTTCAAAGTTTTTCAAAATTCCACGAGAATTTTTCATGGAAAAAAGTTTTCGCTCTGTTTTTCTAAATTAACGAGTTAATTTTCCATGAGAAAAAAAAATGTTTGCTCTGTTTTTCTGAAGTTAATTTTTCATTTTTTATATAATCAAAAAAGATAAAAAGGTGAGAGACTCTTAGAAGTTATCTTAATTTACAGTCAATTAAAAATGTAAGATTTTTCTGGAACACGCATTGCATAAAAATTCAGTTAATAATAGAGTTACCCTAATTGTTTGATTACATACTCAATTAGCAAGAAAATGCAATGTGATGCTGAATAATTGAAACTGCAGTTTATACTGAAATAAAGCTTTAAATTAATACCAGTTCAGTTCAGTTTCTGAATTAACGAGTTTTTTCAGTTAAAATTTAGTTTAACCAATAGAAACGCATTCTCTCTAAATGACCCTGATTATTCTAACTCTCTGGAAAAGTTTGTACAATATTCTGACCTTGAACTGGTGCTATGGAATCAATAAACTCAAATACAATGCTACACTATAGTATATAGTGTATGCTTCCAAACGCCTCACTTTTCTATAAAATATACAATTGATTCTGACCTCTGAACATTACAGAGGTTATTTTAGCATTAACATTATTTTTTTTTTCAGCAGATGTGCAGATAATGTTTCTGGAGCCCCGCACATGACACGCGGGGTAAAAAAATATGGATACTGTGGCCACGAATTAACAATTAGTTCCCACGGCATATTAATAAATCAGCACATTTTACTAATTCGTTACCTCTTTGTAAGTAAACCGCGCTCATGATACAATAATGCATGCCCTTGATTTACTAAATCATGGCCACATTGTGATAATTTGTTACCTTGTTGTAGTTTAATCAAAGTGAGGGAATGACGTTCAACTTGGCCACAGTTTACTAATACAAGAGAATCAATTCTTAATTCGTAGGAACTTGTTTATCTAAAATTGAATGATTGTGAAAAAAGCATTTCCTTTTTGTGGCCCAGGCAACAGTGGGAGGTGCTGGAGGCTGTGATTGGTCAGTTAGATGAGCCCTTCCAGGTGACAGTGCAGTACTCTTCCTGTAGCAGCCATGACGTCGGTTTTCTGGCATTTGATTCACTGGAGCTGAAGGACTGTGCCATGATGGGTAACAGCTCATTAATTGTTCTCTAATATTATTCAACTCAAACATCTGTTAGAGTTACTGCATGTTTTACTTGCACGAAGGCCGTCTGTAGAGAATTTCTACTTCATCACTTTGATATGTAAACTGTTTAATGTGCCCATAGTATTTTGAATAATTTTAAAGTATTCAAAAGACTGCACTGGTTATTGATGTTCTATCCTTATGTGGCACTTTTGAGCAAAATATTGATGGTTTTCTGTGTTTTTCTGCAGGAGATGATTATTTGGATTTGGGTTCAGATTGTGAAAAATACTCATCACTTCATTGTCCTTCTGGAGGCTGCATTGAGAAACGAAGAGTGTGTGATTTTCATACTGACTGTCCACAAGGAGAAGATGAGGGCTTAATATGCAGTGAGTAAAAGGAAAGATTTTAAATATTTTATATGAAGATGCATATCAGGCTGTAAGAAATTGTGAGCACCTCTTTCAAAGTTGTATGTATTTTCTGTTACTCACATCAGACCATTTAGTTTGTGCAGAGCTCTTAAGTCTTTTAAAAAGACCATATTTAATTATCATTTTTTACTTTTTTGGTTATTTCAAATGTAGAGAACTGGCTGCATCCCACCAGTCCATTAATTTAATTTATGATAATCGAAACATTTCTTTGCCTTTAAGCCATAAATCCTTGTAAGATTTGTGAGATCATTCTTGCCAATCTGCATTTCGTTGAGAGTGCTCAAAAGTATGAACCGCAGTGTGACAGGGCGATATAAGAGAGTGCATTTGAGTAACTGGCTGGCTGTGTGTCACTCACATTAGCTGTATTAAATCTTACGGCTATGATAAATTTCTAATCCTTTCACTGGAGGCGTCGGATTAGAAAACCTTCTCTGTCAAAGTTTTCCACTGAGTAAGGAAGCACACAATGGATCTGAAATGCATTCGTGTGTGCTTCCCTCTTGGAAAAATATTTGCATATTTATTGATTTATTTAGTCTTCATTAACATTTATACTATGCTTAGATGATTTATAATTGTCTGTGTACAAAGAACTTGAATTGTAGTATTTGGCACACAGCACTTATAATCCAAAAAGATAAAAAGGTGAGAGACTCTTAAAAGTTATCTTAATTTACAGTTTATTAAAAATGTAAGATTTTTCAGATTTTTATGGAACACGCATTGCATAAAAAATCAGTTAATTATTCTAGAGTTACCCTAATTGTTTGATTACATACTCAATTAAGAAAATGCAATGTGATGCTGAATAACTGAAACTGCAGTTTATACTGAAATAAAGCTTTAAATTAATACCAGTTCAGTTTAATTTATTTGTTTGTTTAGCAATTTTCATCATTCAAATTTGTTATTTATTGTACAACTGTTTTCAACATTGATGATAATAATAAATGTTTCTTGACCACCAAATTAACATTAGAATGATTTCTGAAGGATTATGTGACTCTGAAGACTGGAGTAATGACTGCTGAAAATTCAGATTTGCCATCACAAAAATAAATTATATTTTAAAATAAATAAAAAAAACCCACTTATTTTACGTTATTATGTTGATTGAAAAGATACACACGCACAGAATGCTATCTTATTAGTATTTATTGTCCTCAAAATGTTTTTATAATGTTGTATGATTATACATTGTGTATGATAGGGCCCTGAGTGTCATAATACATGCTAACAGAGCCAATTTTTATGTACCCTGCTCACTTTACGACTTAAAATTATCTAGAATATCTGAAAATATTTGTTCCAGAACGCTGAACACATTTACAATTTATTATTGATTTAATTCATAGTGAGATCTATGTTTTGAGATGAATATTTCTCCCCTTACAGACGAGCCGCGGCTGGTGAAAACGTTTGATATTCTGTGAAGGGTTTCATAATTTTGACAACATCTTAATGAAAATGATCAAAGCGACTCCCACTAAGTTTAAGCTTATTAATTACATCCATGACATTATAAAACGTGTCCTCTAGATAATGAATCTGTCAGTTAGTTAAATCTGGCCTAGCCAAGTATCCAGGGACCATATTAGCACACATTAGTTGGAGTCCTGTCATATCAGCTGTCATTTTAGGTGTGAAATATTTAAAGTGTAAAGCTAATTGAGACACAATCTGCTTTTATAAATGAATCTATAATAACACTGTCAATTTTAGACTCAAGTAAAGATGTTGGAATTATGTAATACTTGAATCTTTTCAGTACTGTGTCTGATTGCTGAAATTCAGGCCTACAGTATATACTTGGACTTAAAACTACATTGAACAAACTGTCAAAAAAAAAAAACTTCACCAGCTTTGTTGTTTTGGTGTTCCTGATAACTACATTTTAGTGAACCTAATGGATAAATGGAAGCAGAGGATGCTCGTTTGAGCTTTTAAAGCCACGTATAAATTTGTTATGTTTCATAATTTGATTTATGTCTATGCAGACTCTTTACCTTTGGGTTCATACTGTTCATTTGAGATGGACTCCTGTGGATGGCCAGTGTCTTATACACAGTCCTCTTGGAGACTAGTTAGTGGACAACAGCTGACTGAAGATACAGATCTACTGGGCACAACTCTGCAAAACACTCAAGGTAAATGTGAAACAACATTCATTCTCAAATGTGTAAGTATTTTAACATTTAATAATTATATAAACAAATAATTTGCCAGAATACACAATCCTTGCTAAATAAAATAAATCAAATTAATTTTTTTTAGCAAGGATGGATTAAATTCATATAGTGTTCTTTCTATTTCAAATGAATGCTTTTCATTTGAAGTTTCTATTCATCAAAGAATCAATTTAGTATCACCATTTCATTGAAAATATTATTCACTGATGCTAAAAAGAAACAGGAAGTAAGTAAGAGATATTATGGATGGGTCACATTGAAATGTTTAAATAGCATACACTTCCAATCCAATTAAGAGTCATGAGGTGATGTAGTTTAACAAACTGTGACTTTTGATGCTTTTCCATGTTTGCGCATTGACCTATTTTTGGCAAAACTGTTCTCTCTACAGCTTTGAGACAGGAACATGTAGGAGACCCATGTGTATAAAAATTTCTGTTGACATTCATCATAAGACAGACAATCATTTTAGTTATGAAAGTCACCAATGGGATTTTCCATGGCATGAGAAATTCAAAATGTTTAAAGGAGAACTATTTTCATGATGACTTAATGGCATCTGTGATTTTACCATGATATCTTTAAGAGTGGTCTGTAATCATTTACAGGCTGTAGGAGAATAGTGCTGTATTATGTAGCTTAGTGTGATTTATTTGTAGAATGATGCAAGAATTATGATCTTAAATCCACACTACAGGTGTCCTAGTCCAGTTTATGGCTGGGGAGTTGTATTCCAACTTGTTAAACTGAAATGCAGCCTTTAAGAAAAACGTTTGCGTGAGAAACTCTACCTTTCTATAAGATTGTCAGCACTGTGTTTAAAAGCCCATTCTGAAGAGGTTTGTCAGTCCTGCCAATTAAGCTTTTGTTTTGCAAGCTGCAGCACACCATATCTGAGCACTCAATAGAGTACTGATCCTTTCTCGCCTCAGGGCACTTTCTTTTCTTAAAGGTCAGAGGTGATGGTGATGAAATTGAGGCGTTGGTTCAAAGCTCAGCTCTCCCTTCAACTATAACGAATCAGGACTGTCAGGTAAATTCACTTGTGAGCAATATTAATGCTGTGTGAGTGAACAACAAATATATATTCATGATTTTATATCAATGATCTCAAATTCACAATTAAGACAAGACTTGCCTAATGTTCTAATGATTTAGACCTATACCACCCTCCAAAAGTTTGGGGTAAAACAGACCTTAAAAAGGTCTGTTTTGCTCACCAAGGCTGCATTTATTTGAGACAGTGGAAATGGTAATATTCTAAAATGTTATTACAATTTAAAATAACTGTTTTCTATTTGAAAATGTACTTAATTGATGATAATTTTCAGCAGCCAGTATCACATGGTCCTTCAAAAATCATTCAGATATAATGATTTGAAGACACCTTTCACATTAATTGAATGCATTCTTGCTGAATAAAAGTATTATTTAAAAACAAATTCTTACTGACCCACATTTTTGAGTGGTAGTTTATTTGTCTATCCACATAAAATGGTTTTTACTGGCAGATTTGGCAGATTTCAAGTTAATTGTCCATGAAAACAGGGACACATCTGTACAGAATATCTACAAATAGCTTACACAGAGTAATCTTACATTGAGCCAATTTCAAAATTTCAAATTTCAATTTTACACTTTTACACTCGATTTTCCATGAATAAGATATTATTCTGAGACATCTGGTCTTGTAGCAGATGCTCAACTGATGAAGTTTTCTGTGCAGTTGCAGTTGTCTATGTACCTGTATGGGAACTTCAATGGAACGGTGCTCCTGTCAGTGGAGGAGAACGGAATTTCAGCACCTACGCTTTTGTGGAACAGAACCGGACACTGGAAGGACACTTGGCAAGAGCTCATTCTGCCGATTACAAAGGTCCTAAATAGGTGAGATGAATAGATGAATAGGTAAATGGGAACCATCTTGCAGAAAACACCTAAAGGCTGTCATTTGATTCATAGAATCATTCATCTTTGGATTTGTCAAAAAAAGTGATTTCAAGATCAAGTATTCTATTTAAATATGAATTTTTTGACTGTGATTTGCGAACCCCGGGTTTTAGTGAGGAAACGGAAGGGAGTTTGTGAGTTGATAAAACCCAAAATGAATGACATTGAAAATTACATTTAAAATGTGTACAATTAAAATAAATACTTCTGAAATAAAAACAATCAAAATAAAACATTCACTAAAAAATGTTAAATTTGTTGTGCCTTATGAAGATGTGTTGGTGTACCTGCATATCAGGTGGTCATAAACTGGCATCAAAGAAATATTTACATGCAAATATTTTGGTAAAAATTCAAAATATCAACTAAATTTCAGATGGTACTTCAATAAAAATATTTAGGTCAAATGTGAAGTATAGACTATTTACTTGAACAACTCTGTTTTGGCCTTTGCTCTCATTCTAAAATATTTTTCATTTGTTTTGAGCACAGCTTCCATCTTAAAGTGCGGGCTCTCTGGACTTCTGGATCTAAGGCTGACATTGCGCTCGATGACATTTCATTAAGTGCTGCATGTTTTGACACAGGTAAACTTTCTGCTTCACACATGTACAGTATTCACACAGACACTCATTTCGTGCAGAATAATGGTCCATATGTCCATCCATAGCGCACAAGTTGATTGACCACACCACAGTATTAAACCCATAATTGAGTTCAATCAGTCAAAGCTGAGGCGTGTCCAAAAATGTAGTGTTCAAAAATGCAGAAATAAAAGGCGTGTTCAAAAATGCAGATGGAGAATTTAAGAGGTGATGTGCACACATGATGTCTAACCGCTGTCTCCAGTTTGCAGCGGGAGATGGTTCTCATAACACGGTTGATGTAGACTCTGCTTGCTTGGTTTTGAAGGATGGGAGAATCCATAAGACGATCTCCCTATTTGCGTTCGTATTCCGCAATCTGCAAATGTTGTAAAAATGTCTACAAAAGACTTTTTTTTTCTGAGTAGGATTTATAAATCCTCAGAATCAGGATTGTTTCGGTGCCGCGGTTGACCGCAGGAATTGATGGGCCTGTTATTTTACATTTAAGACTTGTGAATTTTAAAATTTACTATCCTTGTTAACTTTGTTTTCTATAATCTGTGATTTGGAGAAATTCCTGAGCTGCTCATTAAATATCCTCTTTAGGTTTCTATTTAGTCCTCCTCTTTCTGTTCTTTGTCATGTTGCCACTGTCATTCTCCACCATATCTACATGAAGATGGACTTCTCTTTTTAACTTGAACAGTATATTATTTTTATTGATTTATTGAAAGACTAATAATAAAAATAGTAAAACGCAAGCGCTGTGGCTTAGTTGTTGCTACACATGCTGTGGTGCTCTTGTAGGTAATTCCATTCCTGGACCAAACCAGACCAGCATGGACATTGTTACTTGTGCTGGTTTAGTGTCGGTCTTATTTATAGACTAGCATATGCCTACACCCTAATTTGAAAGTGATTGCAGTACCAGTTTTGGCCACAATCTTGCATACAGCTCCTTTAATTTCAGTATATTTAAGCCCTCAGTTTCCTGTGTTCCATTGTCCAGTCTCATTTCAGTTTATAGTTGTTGATATTACACTAATTCTCCTGCAACCTTTGGAATTATTAAGACCGTTAATTTGTTGTACTCAATTCTTCGTGTGTTTATTTCGTGACACCAATACTGCTGGTCTTGTCAACAAAAAATAAAAATGGCAAAAAATTTAACAATAAAATTAATTAAAAAATTCACAAGAATTGATCCTAACGTCTCACACTTTTCTTCCTCTTTGTTCTTCGTTCTCTTTCCATATCTGTTTTAAAAGAACTAAACGAATTGCTTCTTGGACAAGGACTACCGCATAATTTAGACCCCTTCAGCCCTCTCCCAGAACCCTCAGCTTCAGGTACAGTTTTCTATTGTATAAAAATGTAATTTATTCCTATGATGGCATCATTACGCCAGTTTTCAGTGTCACAAGATCCTTTAAAAATCATTATAATATGGTGATTTGGTGCTCAAGAAACATTTCTTATTATCATCAGTGTTGAAAACCATGGTGCTGCCAAATATTTGATAGATTTTTTTTAGGATTCTTTGTTGAATAGAATGTTCAAAATAAGTGCACTTGTTAAACTGAAATGCACCCTTTCATTGACACACCATCCATCAGTAGGATTACTCCTCTAATCACCATTCTCATTATTAAGATATTTTAAGGATATTTTCTATTTTTTCTTCTTCTTCTTCTTTTTTTTTTTCTCATTCATGAATTTCGGCCTTTAAAGGATTTCCCATGACTGTGCTTTCACCTATACATTTTAGGAACATTTTAAATGCATTTACTGTCACTTTTTATCAATTTCATACACCCTTGCTGATTAAAAGTCATTTCTTTTTAATAATAATAATAATAATAATTCATTACATTTATATAGCGCTTTTCTGGAAACTCAAAGCGCTTCACATAGAGGAGGGGGGGGGGGGGATCTCCTCAACCACCACCATAAAAGCATGAAAAAAGAAAGCAGTGTCTTTTATTTTCAGAAGCATCCCTTATAACATGGTGGTTTACTTCCTGTGGAGCAAGCGGACCGCTAGGCCCGACTCAAGCACAATGTGACGGCGCTTACCGTAACACCAACGTCAGCGTGGTGGTGGGGAAAGAGGGCCATCTCAGAGGGGTTCAGATGTGGAAGGTCCCAGCTACCAACATGTACAAGTAAGTTTAGAAGCTGGAAATCAATGTGGTTTAGACTTTAGAATCAATCTTGGGTTCAAAAACAGCTATTGGACAGGTATTACTACATGCATGGAATTTCTGGGGAAGCTGTCTTACTGGTTAACCTAGTTAAAGGGGTCATGAAGTGGCTTTTTAATTTTTTATATTGTTGTCCGAGGTCAACTAATGACGTTCGCTTGGTTTTTACATTCAAAAAACATCAAAATGAATAAGTAATAGGCTATTTTCTACCCTAGTTTTAAGCCTAGCTCAAAAACGCTCGGTAAAAACAGGAATGATTCACCCATACATATTCGACCCATAGTCCGTGTGTTGCACCATTCCTGTCGGATCCAATATAGAAGGCACAGCACCGTTTTTTAATCTTAGTCGGTCTGCAAATCGAGTCTTGAGCTGTGTCTTGTTTACAAAACAATCCTCAGTGAAATGAAGCGAACAAACGGACAATATTTTACCCTAATCAGCTGGAACGTCAATAAAAATAAAGTTTAACCATGCAGTCCTATTGGAATCCAGAGGAAGCTTATGCAGCGACTGTTTTCTTCCACAACCAGGCACTCGATATTGCTCGATATCGATCCAGTTTGTCATCATGAGGTAGGCATCTATTTTTGTTATTTAGCTATGCGTGTAATGCGCGAATCAGTGGGCGGGGCTAAACCCGCTGTGTTGAAGTAGGCGTTGATCTTCTTCTGCGGGGGTGGTGTTTTATCCTCTTTGACGTCATAGTTCCCCACTTTGAAAAACGAGTCGTTTTCTGAGCCTGGTGTCAATAAAAGCTTTTATTGGACTTTTGAACAAGGACGTTTTCAGTTCTGAAACTTACAGGATATTCTTAAAATACGCTCATTTTTTTTTTTTGGCGCACCTGTTTTTTCAAGTGCTCATTTAAACATGATCTATGTACTCTTGAAATAAGTGATTCTCCCCTCAAAATCCAATTGAATGCAAGTAGATTAATTTAAGCAGATGTTAAAACCAGGTGTGAACAGTTTCTTACTCTCTTTATCTATTTTTTTGTTTTGTTTTTGTAAAATCAGAGAGGGACATGACTCACTGGCTGTAGGCACAAATAAATCTCTTCCTGTACTCCACTTAATCTGGCCCCTGTGTTGTCAAGCCTTTGAACTGATTTACAGTGATTATAGAGGCTAGTCATGGGAGCTCATTAAAAACAACTCCAAAACTGTCTGAGAAAGAAGAGCATGCAGGAGACCGGAAAACATAGCAGATAACTATCAGATGAACTTGGACGACACTATGTTGTGATGCTATTGCATTCAGGGTGCCAGAGAGCCAGCACCGGCTATCCCTCATTCGTAAACTGAATTATTTTATATTGTATCCTTTTGTTTTGGTGCCTTAAGCACTGACTGGTTTTAATAACAAACTATTATATTTGCCTCTAGACAGGAAGTTTTATCTTCTTTAGTGGTGTGAGGAAATAAAAGTCTTTGCTTTTACATTTCAGGATTAGCTCAGCTTAATTAAGTTGTATGTTATTAAAATGATAATGTTTATATTCAAAAGGATAATGGTGATTATTTTGGGCCCACTAATGACTTAATAGCTTAATATACTACTGCTATATTAATAGTATATTTTCAAATGTTGTTATGCCATGGACCCTTAAGAATGAAGATTCCCTTGTGAGGGATGGATATATATATATATATATATACACATACATACATACATACATACATTTATTCATGGTATTATGAATATTCATTTATCAATATTCATTCCCATATACATACAGTATAATTAGACCATAGTTCATCTGTTTTCAGATTTTACTCTTTTTAAGGTTTGTTTGAAACATTTTCTGCTTCTCTTTATGGGTATTAGTAATCCGATGTAGCAGTTGTGTCCTCTGTTAGTTCAGTGCATTGGGAATTCTAAGGAAACATCCTCATTCTCCAGGATTTCAGCTTATGGAGCTGCTGGAGGCAAAGGAGCAAAGAACCATAACAAGCGCTCACATGGCATCATCATCTCAGCTATCTTCCCACTGGAGAAAGGGGACATCCTCTACATCCTGATTGGTCACCAAGGAGAAGATGCCTGTCCAGGAGTGAGTGAAACTTGGTTTACAAAGCATTTATGTATAAGCTCTCCGTCTACTGTACATTTCAGTGTTGTCTTCACATATGTACAGAGGAACCCCCTTACACACAAAATCTGTCTGGGCGAGTCTTCTGTGATTGAAGATGGTTTTGACAGTGACGGTTCGGCCTTGAAGTGGGCGGGAGGCGGTGGTGGTGGTGGGGGAGCCACATACATATATCGGGTAAGATCTTTCTCTTCTTCCAATTTTCTTGTCTCAAACACATCTTTAAAAACATCAATCACAGCTTTGTGAGTACCCTTAAGGGGAGCCATGTGGACAGCAGTCGTCGTCTGATAGTGCCTGTCTAGACAAGCATATTTGAGACATCCTGAAATAATTTGGAGTCATCTGAATTGAAACACAGATGTAAATGACGGTCGGTCTGGCCTTCTTTTTTACTTGGATGAAAAGTAACTCTGATGTTGTTTTTGGGATGCCCGGGGACAGATGGAGAACGGGGAACCAGTGCCTTTACTGATTGCAGCAGGAGGGGGAGGAAAGGCCTACCTGGAGGACCCTGAAAGCAGCCTGGACCAGATTTTCCTGGAACAATATGAGAACGACACCTCCGCCTCTGGTGTCAATGGCAAATCTGGAGCAGCAGGTACAATATTTTTACAGCACAGCCCTCTGCAGAATTTATTGAACGAAATACTCTTTTGCCAACCAGTCCGGCTGAGATGCATACGGGAAGGCTTTCCACAAGATTTTAAAGTATTTTATGGGAATTTTTGCCAATTGATGCGGTAGAGCATTTGTGAGGTCAGACACTAATTTTGGATGAGAAGGCCTGGATCGCAATCACCATTTTAATTCAAAGTGTTAGAAAGCGTTGAGGTAAGGGCTTTGTGTGGGCCAAACAAGTTTTTCCACACCAAACCCATTAAATTCGGCATCAGCCAAAACCAGACTCACCCATCAGACTGCCAAACAGAGAAGCGGGATTTGTCAGAACATGTTCCACTGCTTCAGAGTTTAATGATGGTGTTCTTTACATCACTCCATGCGATGCTTGGCATTGTACTTGGTGATGTGAGGCTTGCATACAACTGCTGCAATGCACCCATTCCATGAAGCTCCTGTCATTTGTGTGCTGATATTAATGCCAGTGGAGGTTGGGAACTCTTCAGCTATGGAATTAGCAGACTTGGTTTTGATGTTCCTAAATGCTTCCACTTTCCAATAATACCACTTGCAGTTAACTGTGGAATATCTAGCAGGGATGAAATTTCACGAATTGACTTATTGCCAAGGTGGCATCCTGTCAGAGTACCACCCCCTCACAAATGTTTGTAAATGCAGACTGCATGGCTAGGTTCTTGACATTTTACACCTGTGAAAATAGGATCTGATTGAAGCACATGATTTCAATAATTGTGAGGTGTCTCCCAATATTTTTCTCCATATGTTCAGCATTAGGGTGACTGGCTTCTCTCAGTCACTGCTTGTTTACTGTGATTTGATATTACAATTGCTTTATTTCGAATGCTAACAATTACTCTGCGGTTTATATTTGGATGATGGTAAGTATTATTTCAGCAATTTCCAGTTAATCCCACATTTATGAATGTTTTATTGGCTCTTTAATTCTATTCGCTACCAACCATTTTTTTTCCCTCCTCAATATGATGCTGCAGTTTCAGTTTAGCCACCGGGGTCAAATTATCTTTTGACAATCCCATAAATTATGATGGCTGTTTTGTGGGATTGACATCTGGAAGAGGCTTTTTGTGTGCAGAAATGTCATGAGAAAGCAGTTCTTGGCCCTCACGTTATTGACAAATTTGCACAATAAGTAGACGAGCAGACAAAGAATAACAGTATTTGCCATCTTGTCTGTGGAACATCTTTTAACTAACATGCTTTGCACTGAATTAACAAGCAGTTCAATATTGTGTATGTGTGTATTCAGGTGGAGGAGGTGGATGGAGTGACTCATCCTCTCTCCCCTGGGGAGGGAAAGCTCTTGTTGAAGGTGGTCAAGGAGGCTCATCCTGTCCCGAGGCTCTGTCAGTGCTGAGATGGGCTACATTTGGGGGGTTTGGGGGAGGAGGGGGCGCTTGCACCTCTGGAGGGGGTGGTGGAGGATACAGAGGTAAATGTTAGATTAAAAATACTTGTCACTTTTGACCAGTTTAATGCATCCTTGCTAAATAAAATTGTCCTTAAAAAAACTTACCGAAGCCAAGTGTGAATAGTAGTGTGTATTATTTTAAAAATAATAAAATTGCATTATATGCATGTATTATATGATACACTTTGCTTGATATTGTATTATAGTATTTTACTTATTTTAAATACTTACTTTTTTTGAGGAAGTCGATTAGCTGATGTAATGAATATTTATCCTTGTCACTTTTGCCCAGGTGGGGATGCTCCCCTTCTTGATGGCATCACAGCAGATGGACAAGATGGTGTCTCTTTTGTTCACCCCATGGGAAAGATATTTCTACAACCGCTGGCAGGTCAGGCCATAATCTGTCTATAATGATGTACCATTGTGCTATTAAGTTTACACACCCTGTTCAAAACTATCTGCTTGCCTTCGCTCGATTCAAAGCGATAAGTTTATAGTAATGTTTTTAACTCCAGTGGTACTGTATAATTGATCTTTGCAATTTGATGGCGGATCCAGAAAGGTTCAAACGACAATCACCAGTGACAACAGATTCACCCGCTGTAAATTGTAAAAGACTTTGGAGTGGCTACAGAAAAAAAAAGAAACTGCAACCGGACCCATGCGAAAACATGGATAGATAACGGAAGGACATAACATGCAGTCACGCAATGCTGACGTTGCAATTTGAGAACAAAGTAATCAGCGCGATTTACTGCAATGTCAGAACCAGAACAAAAGTGGATGTTTCTTACTTGTTCAGATGAGATTTTCTGGTGAAAATTTTTATGTTGGTCATACAGTACTTCCAAAAAGAAAAATCTGTAATTCTGAATGCCAGTATCCACACCGGCGCGGTGACTGACAGCCGCACACTCTCCTTGTGTTCATCCACGCGGTGTTGAGTCGAAGTACAAGTTGATAATGCCGTGAATAACTGCAATTGCAGATTTCGAACAGAGATGGCGACAAAGAGAAAAAAAACTGCGGACTGCAGCTTTAAATAAAAAATGATAGCATCTTAAAAAATGATCATAAAAAAGTCTCTTTTCAAACATTTACATACCCTCAGTTTTTAATAAAATGTGTTTTATTACTTATGGGGACTTTTATGATTTAAAAGTCTCGTTTTTATGATTTATGGGGACTTGATTTATGGGGGGTTTTATGATTTATGGGGACTTTCCATAGACATTATGATTTTAATACTGTAAAAACTGTATATTATATCCCCTTACACTAACCCTACCCCTAAGCCTAATTTTCAAAAAAAAAAAAAAAAAAAAAAAAAAAACATCACTTAGTATGATTTATAAGCTGTTTTCCTCATGGGGACCAAAAAATGTCCACAAGGATTTCTGATATTGCCATCTTTGTGGAGACATTTTCCACAGGCCACACACACACACTGATTGAGTTATAAACGTGAAATTGAGAAAATGTAACTCGTGGTGGATAATGGAAGACCTTATGTGACTTATTAAAGTTGGCGCCACTGTTTATTACTGCGAGTGTGTTTGCAGTAAAGGGCTATGATTTAGATCGACTATCGCTTGTGAGGCCAGGCACAATTTTTATGTCAATCCTTAATGATAACTTTCATTATCAAGTCATTAACAAACTGTATAAAATGCTTAAAATATTAATAAATACAAATATATTAAACCGCCCTTATTATGCGTTTTTTGAAGGCTCCTAATTTGGGTTGCGAGGTTTACATTCACAAACAGCTATATAGCACACTACATTAAAGGTAATATCTGAAAAGCATAATACTGGCACTTTCAAAAATTTAAGGCAACTAGTTGCTAGTTAATGCACTAATTATTTGTTTAGCATTAGATAATATGATCTTTTTTGTTCATTTTATTAAATGTATTACCAAATATTTTATTATGAACTGTATTTTAATTAGACAATGGCTAGTCATATTTTATATTACAATTTATATTACATTTTAAAGGTCTGCCAGAAGTTTTTGTAAACCTTATTTGGCATATATAAGTAAGTACACATGCCATCATAGCAAATACACTAAACCAAATATATCTTTTTTACTTCATGGAGGTTTTAAACTAATTTTACTTGCTTGTTTTACCCTAGAATTTTTATTTAGCTCAAAGCAGTTACATACAACCTAAATTAAAGATAAAAAGACTCCCTAGACAGAAACACTGAGGTTTTGTACAGCTACTGTGCAATATTGATCCGTTTTCATGTGTTCTAGCCATGGAGAGTCATGGGGAAGCTGAGATCGAGGTGTATCTGAATTGTAGCCATTGTGAGACCCAGAGCTGTAAGCGTGATGAAGATAGCAGACTCATCCTCTGCCATTGTGACGGCGACGAGGTTCTTGCTCCAGACAACGTCACCTGCATAGGTACCTAAACAGCCTGTGTCTATTTGCTCTCAAAAGTATGTTTATATTTGCATTTGTTTGAAATGTTTCTAATTTGTCGTCCTCCAGTTGTTCCATTGGGCTCCCTGGCAGACGGACCCCCATCCCTGATATTTATCCTGGCAGTGATCGCGTCCACAGTAGTTACGGGTGTCGTTCTCACATGTGCCAGCCTCATGCTCAGTAAGAGATTCTTCCAGTTCTGCGTCAACTCTGTGCCGTCAACATTCCATCGTCTTTGACATGCTTTGTCTAGGTCCTGGTGACATTGCAGGACAGATTTATTATAAAATTGCATTTCACAGAGAACATTCAGGCAAGTGCAACATCAGTTATTTTAGATCTTGTACAAGCAATAACAACAGGCAGCGGAAATTATAATTTGTGACTTTTTTTCATACCCTATAATTATTAGTATAAGTACAAAAAATAATTGTAATTGTTGGAGCCACTGGGCATTAGCGTTTCATCATTAAAAATCCTAAAAGAAAAGGGTTTTACCAGCTTAAAAATGTGACATGAACAAAACTGTGACATGATAAAAAAATTACGAATAATTATTTAGCCAAATTTCATACAGCACTTTTAATACTGTTTAATACTGTTCATAAGTTTGGCATCAGTAAAAAATTAATGTTTTTATTCTGCAAGGATGCATTAAATTGATCAAAAGCATCAGTAAAGACATTTGTAATGTAATTCAACTTTCTGAATTTAAAAACTTTCAGAATTTTCTGAAACCTCAAAAAAAAAAATGCATCACAGTTTTCGCAAAAATATTAAACGGTACAACTGTTTTCAGCAAATCAGTATATCAGAATGAATTCCGAAGGATCATGTGACGCTGAGGACTAGAGTAATGATGCTGAAAAGGTGAAAACTCAGTATATATATATAATATATATAAAAATCTTACTGACGCCAAACTTTTGAAGCCTATAGTGTACACAGGATAATATGAATGAACCCTTTTCAAAAACTATCACATATGAGTATTGCAGAATCTTTAAGCCATGCTAAAAAATCTTCACTTACTTATTTCTCATCCTTCTGTCCGTTGCTTTTGCTGTTTAGTTAATTTAACACCGGTTGTGTTATCTTGGGTTTTGAACAGAGTTGTTGTTGTTTTTTGTACAAATTTTTGTTGTTTTTTGTACTAACTAACTACTTTATGTAGTGTTGCACAATACCCCGTATAGGAATGAGTAGGGAACTAAGACAGAGACTGCTATTAACCTTTAAGCACGGACTTTTGATATTAAAGGTAAATGAACAATTAAGCCAAATTATTGTCAAAACTAACTGTAATCTCACAGATGGGCTTTTTTTGTAAATAAGTGCTGACCAGTATTTTAATTACACTTGCTGCTATTTAACTTGTGTGTTTTGTTCTTTCAACAAAAAACGGTTTATTTTCCAGTACAGGACAGTGAGGGAATATTGAGGGTGGCATAATGCACTGTCCCTATAAATGTGAGCATCTTCTGGAATTAATGAGGATATCATGATTTTTTTCTTCAATAGAAATATTGGTTACAATTTTGAATACTTCCATTGCGCTGGTGGCAGTCCAACATACTGACCTTTTGAATTTACCTCTCGTAAAGGGAAACAAAAAAATGGTCATTTATATCAAAAGTAAAAAGCAATGACTTGGGAAGTTGGGATTCACCAATGGATGATCATTAATTTATTACACATATTCACTCATCTGTTTTCATATCTATTTAAAGTCAATAAAAAAAAATCTATGATAACATAAATGATAGCTGATATTATATATTAGTATTTATTATTTTTTTCCAACATTGCAATTTAACATTATATAAACCTGGCATTACAACATTATGATGTGCAGAAACTTGGCATAGAAACAGTAGGATATTTGTTTGAATAGGAAGAAATTGCCTGCGTTTTAGCAAAAAATTGCATGCCTAGAAATCCTTATTATTTCTTGTAATTTTCATTTAATATCCCAGTGAACTCAATTTCCCAAACCCTTGATTGAAATATGCCTTAAACCAACAGTCTGTCACACAATGCTCTAACTTTATGTATATCCAATGGACTCATCATTATAAATGCTTTATTTTTTTAATAACTATGCTTAATATCAAGTACCTTCCATATGTTCGATTTAAAAAACATATATTGTCTGTTTGACTTGTGCACTAACTGTACAATGCTGTGCCATGACACGTTTTATATGTATTTGTAAGATAAACAAAGACTTGTCATTACACAAATCATTAAAGAGAAGTGATACAGACCTCTAAAAAGACATTTGAAGCATGTTTTTCATTCTCATTTTGTATATTTTGGACATTCAATTTCGGTATGCACACAAAAACCACCTCAAAAGTCAAATATACAATCAGCAGAGCACGGTCTCTGGGTCCTTAGTTAGCAGAGCTCCACTGGATGCTAATTGTGTGTCTTCCCCTGAGCTCTCCCCCATGTAGGTTGGTAGTCTTTGCTCGGGCTTTCCCTCTCGCACCCCTAATACCTGGTCAACTTCCTGCCGGCTTCGCTTCGCGCCACTGCGCCAGCAGCCCGACGGCAAAAGGGGACCTCTCACCTCCACGCAGCACCCTCCCCAGCAGACTACCAACCTGCATTGGGGACATGGGCAGCCTCCACTGAGGGTGAGTCCACCCTGCCCGATCACTTGCTGACAGACAGGCCCCGAGCTTCAGCCCTCCCCTGCCCTGAGGAGATTTAAAATGCACAATTGTGTCATCTTGATAGAATTCAGTGGGGACAAATAAGCGCACATGGCTATTTCTCTGAGAAAATTACCCTTCATGCTGAAAGCCTTTTGAAAGACACTTTTAGGATGCACGATCATCTTATCCACATCGTACTCTGAGACCAATAATTATGCAAATTAGGCAGGTGGATTTACCTCTAAAGAAAACACCTTAAAAGCTTGATCACTTTTTGCTGATTCCTGTTGTGTTTTTCTCTTTGCAGTATATTATCGTAAGAAGAACCACCTGCATGCGGTCAGAATTCGTCTGCAGAGCCCAGAGTACAAGCTTAGCAAAATTCGCTCGTCCACCATAATGACCGACTACAACCCTAACTACTGCTTTGCTGGCAAGGCGGCCTCACTGAGTGAGCTTAAGGAGGTGCCACGTAAAAACATCACCCTTCTCAGGTATCTATGCTGTGCAGATGTACAGTACCATTCAAACGTGTGGGGTCTATATGTTTTTTTTTAAAGGGGTGATGAACTGAGAAATCAAATTTTCCTTGAGCTTCTGACATCTAAGAGGTCATCATATTATAAGTTTCAGAACTGAAAACATCCTTGTTAGTCCAATGCTTTTATTGACACCATGCTCGGCAAACGACTCGTTTTTCAAAGAGGGGAACTATGACGTCAAAGAGGATAAAACACCAGAGGATACTTCAACACGGCCGTTAGCCCCGCCCACCGATTCGCGCATCACACGCATAGCTAAATAACATATAGGCCTACCTCGTGATGACAAACCGGGTTGAGAGTGAAACTCATTATAATATGCAAAACTGTCATCCACTCACAGCAGTGGGCGTTTACGTCCAAGTCTTCAGTGTGAGACGCCCATAAAAACCGAGCGTTTTTGAGCTGGACTCAAAACTAGGGTAGAAAATAGCCTATTACTTATTCATTTTGATGTTTTTTAATGTAAAAACCAAGCGAACGTCATGAGTTGACCTCAGACAACAATATTAAAAAAATTAAAAAGCCAGTTCATGTTATAATTGTAATGTATATTTGTATTAATTTATTTATATTAATTTATATATAATTTATATTTATAAAATATAAGGAAAAATATATAATGGTACATGTGGAAGTTAACATAACCTATTAATAAATGCTGTAAACGTGCCATTTATGCTGTTAAAGTATTATTTTTAGTTCATTATACATAATTCATTAACTAATGTTATCAAGGTTAAGGTGATTAAAGCTCAAGGTTGGTATCCGGAAAAAAAAAAAAATGAATTATGGCGTAAAAAAAGCTATTCCAGTCTTGAAGAAAAAAATGAGATGACTGACTCGCCTTGGCTAACCTTTTAACCTTCTAACCTTTTGGTCAGACTAGTTAATAAGAAACATCTTAGTTTAGTCTTAACATCGTGGCTGTTTATGCAGCTTCCCACAGGTTGCACTTGTCCAGTTATTAGTTAAAATAATATTCTGGGGTTAAATAAAAGTTGAGTTCTGTTGACAGCATATCTGATATAATAAATGTTGCCTGACATTATGTACAGTACATAAAACAAACAAAAATACTGCTGACAGTTCTGCATTTACACTGGCAGTCTGCAGTAACAATCCTATTCAACCTGGAATATTCCTTCAATATTCCTGTGATGACATGTGAAAGCACTGGAAATTAATTCCACATTTACACATGTGATTAATATGTATCTGTGACTATAGGGCGTTGGGACACGGTGCCTTTGGGGAAGTGTATGAAGGACAGGTTTTGGGTATGAATGGAGAAAACACAGCCATGCAGGTTGCTATAAAGGTGAGTTTTCCCAGATCTGCCTTGGCCTTTGAAAGCAGTTTCTGGTTTCTCTTAATTGATTCTGTGTTTTTTCTCTCTTCATCCGTCTTATAGACTCTTCCAGAAATCTGTTCTGAGCAGGATGAGATGGATTTCCTAATGGAAGCTTTGATCATGAGGTATGCTTGGCTGTAACACACACACACACAGCATTGTAATGGCCGCACATGTGTGTGACAGACAGAAATTTGTCATTTCAATCCTCTGCTTTTAGTCAAACTCGCTTTAAGTTATGAAATCTTTTCTCTTTTTTTAATATTTTTTACGCATATCACGTTCACATTTGTTGTTTGTTTTTGAGCGTATGGCATTGTCTTTAGTCAGGCAACAGATGTTTTTCAGTGATTCATAGTTTTCTGAGCAACTGTGCTGTAGTTAATTATCATATCCTTCATACTTCCATTGGATGGTCTAGATCAGTGAATCCCTACCAGAGGATATTTTGATTTTCATTTGGCTTCGAGTCACACATATGTTATCATCTATTTCAAGGTGCTTAATAATAATAATATTAATAGTCTTCAAGGTGCTTAAATATTATTTCTAAACCAATATAAACTAAATATTTTACATTTGTATTAACTGGCACACAATAAAATATGTAATTTCACATAATTTGAAATGACCTGCATTATGTAACTTTTCTTCCATTCAATAGTCTATTTCTTCATCCTTTGTGTCTGCAGTAAGTTCAGCCATCAGAACATTGTGCGCTGTATCGGAGTCAGTCTGCAGATCCTGCCTCGCTTCATACTGCTGGAGCTCATGACAGGAGGAGACATGAAGAGCTTCTTGAGACTAAACCGACCCAGAACTGTGAGTGTTTGTGTGTATAGACATTATTCTATCCTCTGTTTATTACTTAGCACACATTTCGCTTTTGTGATGTGGGTTTGCCACATGTGTGGAACATACAGTATATGGTTAGTTCAGAAACATTATCGTCTTATCTTCCCACAGAACCAGCCATCTTCTCTAAGTATGCTGGATCTTCTTCAGATGGCCAGAGACATTGCACTTGGCTGTCGCTACCTTGAAGAGAACCATTTCATTCACAGGTGATTTCTCACTGCCAGACCTGAGTAAAGTTTGCGCTCAAGGAGCCTTCATTGTTGGATTAAGTGGAAATCGCTCTTCAGTTGCTATGTAGACGTCATTAACTCGCTGCAGCCCTTGACCTTGATGCCTCGCACGCATATAATAAGTCAAGAATGTATGTCTGTTGTGTGTTTCAGGGACATTGCAGCACGAAACTGTCTTTTGACCTGTCCTGGTCCAGAGAGAGTGGCTAAAATAGGAGATTTTGGGATGGCTCGAGATATCTACAGGTGCTTTCACTATCTCACATATTTATTTATTTAAAAAAAAAAACTTTGTGTGTGTGGTTTAGTACCTGTTAAGGATAATAATGAACACAGGCATTGATTGAGTTTTAACAAAAGAGTATTTTTGTATTGCAGGGCGAGTTACTATAGGAAGGGTGGCCGTGCCATGTTGCCAGTGAAGTGGATGCCACCTGAAGCCTTCCTAGAAGGCATTTTTACATGCAAGACTGATACCTGGTAATAATAGTTTACTGGGGAAAAAAAATGTCTTTTGTCAGCAATGGTTTGAAAGAATTGTAGTTTTAGTGGTTTGGACTGTTGCGTCCAAGATTCAGGTAAAACAAATATACACACTGTGCATGTATATTATTAAATTATTATTACTCTCTCTTAATCACACTAATTAACTAACTATAATTTTTACTCTTGCATTGTCAATACAAGATCTTGACCAAAAATAATATTACAGCATTTATTTCCATATAGAGGTGAATACATTTTTGGTCAAGATTTTTTATTGGCAATGCAAGAGTCGAGCACCCTGTAAAGTGTCCCACAGCACATCCCAAAGACTTTCAATGAATTTAAGGCCTGGATTCAGAGGTGCCAATTCTTGTGTGATGGTGATTCTTCTTCATGCAACCTCCCAACCATTCTTTCACCATTTGAGCCATGATGTCTTCCTACATGGTTGTTTAAAAATGTTGCCAAACATATAACATGCTATAAATATTATAATCACTGCAATGATCCAATACTGTTAAACATTTGCCTATTAAATCCAAACAGTGACTTTTGTTTTGGCCGGACTCGGCTGCAGAGACCAAGGCCAGTAATTGCATACAATTTGTCTCCATCTGTAGGTCTTTCGGGGTACTACTGTGGGAGATTTTCTCTCTTGGATACATGCCTTATCCCTGCAAGACCAATCAGGAAGTACTGGAGTTTGTAACAGGTGGAGGTCGTATGGATCCTCCTAAGAGCTGCCCAGGACCTGTGTAAGTAACAATAGCAGAGTTGTTACTCAAATTGAAAATGGATCTCAGCCCTAACCTGGAAGGTAGCCTACACTGTGTAACTTTTGACACTCGAGCGCGAGCGGTTTGGAAGATTGATTCATGATGAAGTTACGTAGTGAATCTTTAAATAAGTGTAAATGTAACAAAATGTAAATGAAAATATACTGTTAGAAGCTGTATAGCATCAGTGAAATGTGCCTAATCTGTTTTAATAATTATATTTTGTTCTCTTTTAGTTATCGGATCATGACTCAGTGTTGGCAACACTGCCCAGAACATCGACCCAACTTTACTACTATTTTAGAGAGGATCAACTACTGTACACAGGTAAAACAGAGTTGGAATTTAATAGATCTGGAGATCTGGAGAATAGATAAGGAATCATTTAGACTGTTTGAAAAAACATTAAGCATGTTGTTACAAACATGCAAAATTAAAAATATTAAATATCCTTTTAAATTGATAAAAAAAAATGTGTGTTGAATCTTTTTTCAGGAAATATATTTTCTAAGCAGTTTTACAGAGTAAATTGCCTTTAATTATACATTTTAAATATAAATTGCCTTATAACCAGTGAGTGTTCTATTAGTATTATTAGGCAATTTATATTAAATAAATAAATAACTAAAAGCTAATATAAATTAATTACAATATATTAATAAGTACCTTAATAGTATATAAATAATACTAAAATAACACTCACTGGTTATATACTATTATAGGATTTATTAACATTTTGTAATTTATATTAGCTTTTATTTATTTTTATTTTAGTTTTAGTAATTTTGCAATATGTTTTAGTTGTTTTTATTTTTGTTTTTTAAAAACAATTTTATTTAACTTATAGTACTTTAACTTAAACTTATTTTAGTTATCAACATTTCAAATTTTCGTTTACATTTTCATCAAATATTTAGATTTTAGTTCAGCTCTGTTTTAATGAATGAAAATAATTGTTTAAAGTTTTAGTTAACTAACGACACTTCTTACAACCAGTGGAAAGAAGAAACTGTAATAAAACACTTACAGTAGAAATGTTTTTCTTCACAAAACTACATGCAGATTTGTTATTGTATTTCTTAATCTTATAAACTTGAGATTAAGAGTAAAATAATAATCATGATTATTATATTAAAAAACAAAAACCCCTGACTTAATAAAATTAATAGTGTTGACCCTTTTCTGGCACACATCCTTTGATTCGTCAGGACCCCGATGTCATTAACACCCCTCTCCCAGTGGAGTACGGTCCTGCTGTCGAAGAAGGCGGCACTGTGATCCATCCTGAAGGATCAGGCAGTATGACCCCTCTTCTAGTGGCCCACTCCATGTCCCAGGATGCTTCCCCTCGACCGGGCATCACCGGTGCATCCCCACAGGCCCTCAAACCCTGTTTGCAGCTACAAAGACCCCTCCATATTGCACAGGAGGTGGGCACATACCGAGAAACATTGGAGCCGTGTTGGGCTGAGCCTGTTCCTGCTTCTGGAGTCTGTCCAGGACAATGGCTTCAAGTCCCAGATCACCAGCCATGCTCCAGGAGCAGTTCGTCGTCAGGCAGCCAGAAGCTAAAGAACAAGACTAAAAACCTTTGGAACCCCACCTACGGTTCTTGGGTCCTGGAGAGCTTTGGACGAGGGAAGACGGCCCTGTGCCATACCCAGTCCATGCCTCTGTCTTGCAACCCCACATCCACGTCTGCCCCGTCCTCTACCTCAGAGCGCGTGGACCCTGGGGTGGTGTTTAACGCAAATGTCTCAACGTCTCCACCTCCAACTGTCGTCTCCTCCCAGACCACACCCAGTCCCACAGGGCCTCCCTCTCGGAAGGGTCCAACAGGGGCTACGGGTGGCTCGCTCACTGCTGTTATGGACTTGGCCAAACTCCAAAGCTTCCCATGTGGCAATGTAAACTATGCGTATGATGAGCAGAGCTACGAGACTGAGAGTTTGCCTGTAGTTGTGCCCAAATCTGTGGAACCCAGCACCAGCTCTGGAGCAACGTCTTCACTTGCTGCCCTTGGCCTGGCCACAACCCCTACCCACAAACCTCAGGTGAAGCGCCATGCTAGCTACGGACACGAGGATGTAAGGAGTTACACCCAGTCTGAGAAGCCAACGAGAGACCGGGATTCTGGCTTTTCCTTGTCTGAAGACCTCAGTGTCACCCCGGTTTAGCACTGAAGAACGATTCTTCTGAGGAAACACCTTTTTTCTGTTCTTTTTCTAATTTTTATTTGATAATGGCAGTGGATTAGCTAGAGGGAGAATGGCAGTTTAAGGCTGGAATACACTGCACTGGAATACATAGTGTAGCGCTGAATGAATCACCGCTCGTAATAAGTCTCTTCCAAACCAACCATTTTTCTTTTGGTCAACGCAGAAAATCTGTGTGATCAGCTTGAATATGTTGTAAAATCTGCTCTGCATGGGGAAATCTTTCAGCCGCACACAAAATTCACTGTTGCTTGGATTCCTGTTGAAAGGAGTGGATTTTGGCCTACTTTGTGGCCGCACCTTGAGGACCAGACTTTCAAGTCATACCGAACGCAACAAACTCATGTAGAAACATGCTCCTGCTTGCTAGGAAACTCATGACAAATTAAAACAATGAGCTCAAAATATAAAACGAGTTTGATATCCACAAACTGGATGGAATTATATGCTATTCACCTCAATCTCAATTCACCTACATAAAATAAAGTAGTAATATTTTATTTTTAACAGAATAGTAAGCTAGCTTTTGGGACGCAAGATGTGTTCACACACCATGTCGTAGTTACTGTAATTGAGATTTCATATTGTCCTTGTAGAGCTCGTAATTACAATTTGTATGCTGGGAATTTTCGGAGAGCTTCTGCTTCTACCACATGACCCGCTGTAATTTAGGGATTGATTGTGTTCAAACTGAAACGCATTATTCCCAGTACGAGGACGTGAACAGCTTCAAGTAGAACGTCATGTGTAGTCATCTCGAAATTCCTGTAATTGCAACATGGCATGAACGCAGATATACTTCGTGGCGTCTTTAAGGAACCACTCTCGCGCTTAGTTACGCGCATCCTGTCACGGTTGATAAATATAACGTGGATGACATTGAATAAATATTTTTGTCGTCAGGTTAGATACTGAATATTATTCACTCAAGCCCCTTAACCGTAGGTCTTGCACATCTGCCATGTTTGTAGTTTTCTATGGAGGACCAAATTACTCAAAATGAAATAACTCCATAAATAATGAATTTAATAAAACAGTGCTCGCCCGCTCTTTTAGTGGCGTTGGTTCCGGAAGTATTTTTACCATTTATTTCTCCCATAGGCATTTCAAAAAGGTCTTTGTAAAGTATTATAAGCCATGAACCAAGTCAACCAGCTATGAGGTGAATCATAACATTACAAACTTTGATTTGAAGCAAAAACGTAATTGAAAATCGGGCAAAAATGCAAAGGTACAACAAGACTGTGTACTTAACGGCTTTAGTAAGGGAAAAAAAACACAGTCCCATGATGCCTTGTGGACAGAATAATCAATTTAATAGAGAAATATAAAACTATGCATTAAAAAGTTTTATAGAAATATGCATATATATATATATATCAAAATATTTAAATATTTTGAGTGTAGGGAAATGTAAAGAGATCTTTTGGCGCTTTTTACTTTCTTTCTATTCTCCGATTGGTGGTATTTTCTATAAATATAGTGTAATATAATAGTGTAACCGAATTTTCTGTACAGCATTATGGGTAATGTAGTTTTCACCACAATTTCAAAAGTTTTCTTATTTTAAAACCAAGTTAAAATAATGGGGGCTGACGGCTTCAACAGAAGCAAATGCTATCGATGAACAACCTCTTAGCTCACAGTAAGGCTGTTTTTAAAGGATTATAAGTTATTGTTTAAAATCAATTTCCCTATGGGGAAAATGACTGGAGTTTTTACTTCTGGAACCAGACTGTTGCACTCTATGGGTTGGGGTTAATATTAGCTGTTAAAGTGTGCACAGTTGCTACAATTTGGGACAAACTAATTCTAATTTTTTAGGACGGATAGTATCTGAATTGGGACGGAAGTTAAATCTAGTCATCATTATGCACAGATTTTTCTGTGAAATATGTCAGCTCAAATTTGCAGACTGGCTCTCGATTTTGGCTACTAGTGTTGAATCGTCCAGACAGTAAACCAACGCTAAAAAGCGAAATTTGTGTAGTGTATTCCAGCCTTTAGTTACTGCCAGTAGATAAATGTTGGTGCGAGAGACTACATTATTGTATTGCGGTGCCAAAAACACTAAGGACATGAGGAGTTGTACCTAATTTGTCATTAAGTGGTGGCTCTCCTACAAATGGCTGATGGTTTCTATGGAAACTTCCACTTGGCTAATAGCAGCCCTTTTACACTGGATTCTCATCTTCTGTCAAAACTGTGAAAACACATGATGTTCACGTGAAATTTACTGATTCGTCATAATTAGCAATGCATATATATGGAGGTTTGATGTCCTAGATGAATTCACATTTTTAGCTGGTTTTAGGAGTGGAGGAAGAACCAAAACATGTTCAGACCTCACACAAACAGAATACTTTGACACATAACGACCAGTCACAAAAACTAGTAACATTTAACTGGGTTGTTAAAAGAAATAGTTTGAATGACTTTAAAATAAACATAAGAGCTTTAAAAATTTTAAAGGGATAGTTCACCCAAAAATGAAAATTCTGTCATTATTTACTCATCTTGTAGTTTTTCTAAACTTGTATGAATTTTTTCTAAGATGTTTTAAAAGATGTCTCAGGCTGCGTCTGGAATCGCGTTCTGTCTGAGGGTACTAGGTTTGAATTTGAATTTACTTTGCGACTGCTAAAAAAAATTACTCTATAATAGTAGTGAATATGGGTGGTAGTGAAAATTCTGACGTACTACATCATCCATGTTGTTAAGGTCATGTGACCTACCAGCATCACTTCACTTCCATTCACAAAACCTCTGGCCTTATGGTATACTGTAAAAAAGGTTGCTGTCTAAAATGAAGTACAATCAACTTGGATGTTTAAGTCATTAGAACTTAAATTACATTAATTTGACTTAAAATGAGTTGAAACTTGTATAACTTCAGTATAATAAGTTAAGCAATGTAAAAACATGTTGTCATAACTTTTTTTAGTGTATTCACTTCAGTATATCACTTCAGACGTTTCGCCTACTGTTTATGTATTTGAACATACTACTCTTTTCTTTTGGTGTACTGTTTTTCGCATATTATATAGTAGGGAAGTATTCGATTTCAAACAGCGTCAGTTTTTTTTTTTTTTTTTTAGACAGTGAAAGTCAATATGGTCCAAAGTGTTAATGGAATTGACTCTCATTGTGTGTACAAAAACAATACACCATTTTGCCGACTGTGATATGTTATGCAACCTTGGCATTAAATAAAATAAATAAATTAACAGCTATGAGGGTGTTTTCTATTACAATGGCAGAGGAAGTGATGGTAAATTTGACATCTTTCTATCTATCGACTAAAATTCTTTTGTTATTGGACCGAATGGGAGTGCAAAAATCATATTTGCCTCGCCACTATTGAAATTTATCCAACAATGGCGAAGTTTACTTCTGAAAGCCTCTGAAATGTGAAAAGGGTCAATTAAATAAGGGCTTAAATCTTTTTTTGTGTTCAAAAGTCAGTCATACAGATTTGGAATGACATGAAGATGAATAATAATTGTAATCTTTTGGGGTGAGCTGTCTCATTAAAGCTTTTTAAGTACTATCACCAATAACTCAGAGGTACACTTTAATGTCAGTGTTGCAGAAATGCTGACAGAAAGCACCTTTAACTTTAATCTCAGATCAGGTGGACTTTACAGGGTTTTTTGACTGGAAAGTAGCATTAGAGACTTTTTTTTTTTTTTTTTGTCTGCTGTTAGTTTTGAAAAACCAACACGTTTGCAAACAGTATGTTGCCTTTATATTGAGGGTGTTTTTGTGTGAGAAACACTTAGATAATTGTGAGATTTTTACAAAGGTGTTGCACCTGAATGTGTTGGCATGTGACGTGGCGGGAAATTGCTTTGGAGATTGTATTGATTTCCATGTCAATGCACTGTTGAAAGACAACCACTTTTGCAATTTATTTTCTTAGTACTTTTCCCTCAAAAATAAATAAGTAAATAGAAGTGCTTTTTATCTCCAAATGTCCTTGTACTAGATGTAAAGCTACCCTGTGTTAACTGTGACTTTGTATACATGCAGACAAATGACAACTAACACAATCACGAACCACATAACACCTCAGTGTGCATAATGTGATGCATGAGAAGTTTGATTTTTGAGTCTTGTTAAGTCTTATTCCTAATTTTTTTTAAATGTTTTATTAGATATTGTAGTTTGTTGGTGAATAATGTTTTAATATGGAAAGATTCATTTGTGTGTACTTTTTTTTTGTCATTTTAGTCAGGGACTGCTGAGAGGATCCTTAGATGAGGCTAAAAATGAATTAGCACAATCTTACATTTATTTTTGTCTTATTTATCCATTTAAAAGTTCCATAATTTGACTGTGATTTAAGGATCTTAAAGTTCTTACTCTTTAGTTGGAATATAACCAGATAGAAGGGTAGAAAAGTTATACATTAGCCAGAAAAATGAGTGCTGTATAATTGAATTAATATTCATTTCACACTAAACTAACCCTTATATTATGTAGCTGTAATATTTAATCTCAGTTTTATTGTTGTTTTCTTTATTATAATTTTTGTTGGATTATGTTGAGGTTATCACTGCCAATCTTCTGCATTTGTCTTTGCAGTGGCTCATTTCTAACTAGCCAGATTAGAAATGTACCATCACATGAAGTGAATTTTAACGTACATGTACTACCTGTATTTTTTTCTTCCAAATATGGACGTTGCTGCATAATAGCAAACTTTAAATAAATTGTTTTTGTCTATAATCCTGCTATGAAGGACCATCCTTAAATGAATTTGGGAAATACAGAATGAATTTTGAGCAGATGTTTTATTTGTCATAAACATGCTGCACAGGGAACACTGTGATGAAACTCACCTGCCCCCCTAAACAAAATAGTGTCACAACGTTAAGTTTGTCTGATAATGAAACACTTTCAGTGGTGTGCAGGTATAGAAAATCACAACCCAGGTTCTTAAACATAAAACCAATACTATATATCCACGCAATCATCCAAATAATCTATTACACCACCCTTGATTGATCACTGAAGTCAAAACGATTAATATCATATTGTATATAAATGCACTATTGTGCATTATTCACATTGCATCACTGTATGCGTTCCCTGTATCTGTGAACTATTGCGTTCCACAAATCTGTTCTACTGTATGTTAGTTTGATGGTACTTTAAAAAAACAGTCAGTTGTGCGAGCCCGATCTCATGAAAGTTCGTATCTATAGCACGAATGTCATTTCTCGTGCCATTTATACGCCAAAACTAGTTTTTGCATGTATAGGGTACGCGTTTTTCGCACTTTTTGGCGTATAATAAGTGCGAACTAGAGGCTGACCGATAAAGGATTTTGAAGGACGATACCGATACAAATATTTGTTGGTTTTAAAATCCGATATTCCGATATATCGGCCGATATATTTTATTTTTTTCAGGAACGCACAACAAAACATTAACAGATTTCCCTAACATTAGTTATTTTTAGTTATGTATGAGTTTTAATTAAAATAATAATAAAGCATTTTAAAAAGAAACTTGTTTCTTTTATTGACGCAACAGAACAGAGGCTCATTAATTAATTAACAAAGCTCATTAAATTCCACTGATGATAGTGGCATTAGCTAGCTTTGTGGTTAGCTAGAATGCCAACAGGGACGCTGTAGAGTGCCCTCTGGTGGACAAACTATACAACTCCAACATGACATGGTTGAAGCGTGTTTCGTCCGTTTTTATTTTATTTTTGAAATATTCATTTATCGGCCATTATAACTCCAGATACCGATAGTTTGGAAAATGCCTAATATCGGCCGATAATATCGGCCTGCCGATATATCGGTCTGGCTCTATGAACTGCCCACCCCCCTTCCCCCTAAACCTACCCAGGGGGTTTTAAGTGCATAGCATATGCACGCAAAAACCATTTTTGGCATATAAATGCCACGAGAAATGACAATCGTGGTATAGATACACACTTTCATGAGACTGTGTTGGTTGTGCAATGTCAATTGTTTGACTAGTGTTTGTTGGGCCTAGACATGGAACAATGTTGCAACAATGTGTGAAGAAACTGATTTTGATAGATTCCAGCATGCAAAACTACCAGCCTAAAAAAATTACTGAATTTGTCCCGTATCATCGAAAGGTTTATGCTTAAGTGTTTTGTAGACAAATATACATTGTACCTGTTCATGTGATTTTTTTTTTTCTTTTTCTTTTTTTACAAACAACATTTGTAATTAGAATTGTATTTGTTTTGAACTCTTTTTTTGACATTGGGGAAGAGTAATTGTGTGATGCGCAATGACAACAAACAAATTTGGGTTTTTGAAACCATGATCATGGCGAAATGCTTTTTACAGCTTAATACTGTAATGGACTTGCTCACTGGTAGTCTCCCCATAATGCACTGCAGAAGGTTTATAAGTGTCTATCAGCATGCCGTAGCTGTCACTCGGACAGTAAGTGAAAAGTTCAGAGTAAGAAGGTCACTCCCTGGCTAAAAAGGAAAGGGTTTGCTTCAGGTTGTCAAGGCCCCATAAGTATCCGTCTTCTCGGTTGCCTTCCTCCCAGGGTCTGTAGTGATCCAGCTTCTGTCCTTCTGGGAGAGGGGTGGTTTTACCAAAATCAATGAGCCAGACCTCAGCTCTCTCTTTGTGATCATGAATGAAGAGAAGCGAACTGCCAATGACCTGAAAGACATTCAACAATGACTGTTTTATTCTTTTTCTTTTCCTTTTTTTTACAATAATCAAAGTAAGGACTTGATCATAGTAAGATGTTTCACTCCAGTTTACGAGCAATTTTCACACGTTCGAGCACACGCGTGTAATAATGCAATTAAGGTGTTTGAATGCCTGTTTATAGTAATTAAAATCGGAAAAGTTGAATGCGAGTATGGCTACTAACTATGATTATGGGCTTAATTGCATTAGTTTGACCAAAGTATTGCATTTACACAAGGTAAAGTTTAATCACAATATTTCCATAATCTCATTCTAGTCGCATAGAGGATGCATAGTAATTGTTGAGGAGGGCCAAATCATGTAAAAACACGATTTACAGTACCGTTTTAATGTTTTGGGGAAATGAAAATAAAGCTGGATTTATTTAAAAATATATTTTTATGGAAACCATCTTACTAACCCCAAACTTTTGTTGTGTAAACAATATTTCTGTACAATATAGTACAACGTTAAATAAAAATATGGCACATAATAAATAAAAATAATAATAATATATATATTTGGACATTTATAGATATTATTAGATATTATTAACTCCAAAAAGCTCATGTTGGAAGTGTACATATAGTACTTAAATAGTAATAACTTTTAAACATAACAATTTAAACAATTTTTTTAACATTAATCAGTAAATATTTACATCACACAACTTCAAAAAATAAGATAAAACACAACATTACAGGAAAAAAAAGTATTTTACCTCATGTTTCTTGAAGAACTCCGAGGCTTTCAGTGCCTGTTCAATATCTTCCAACCTTGTAATATAGGAGTTCTATTAGGTAAGTGAAGGAGAAGAGCACATCAATAATCAATAATTCAACTGGAATTATCCTAGAATTGATTTTTTTTTTTTTCAGTATTCACTGGAGAGAGGCTCGAATTACACAAGGACATCTTGTAAGTGCAGTTAATTTGTTTTCTGTTGAGACATCTTGCTGTGCTTGCATATTATAAAATATTATTTAAAAGGTGTTTTAAACCTTACAGCTATATCTGCTAGTACTAACTCTGTTCTAGTTCTAGTAAAAAAAAAAGTTTAAGTAAAAACATACAGGCAAAACAAAATTAATACCCGTGGCTCCTAATGATACGGCGAGGTCTTAAGCGAAACGGGTGCATTCATAACTGGTGAGCAAATCTTTGGGTGAACTATCCCTGTAATTTACCTTACCCTTCATGACATGTACTATAGACCCCAAAACTGAACAGATGAGCTTTTATGATTCTGTTTGAACTGCCTTGTTGGAGCATCACTGAGAGTAAACAATATCTGGCCTTTTTACATCAGACATGTATATCCTGGATAGAAAGTATTCAAGGTGTAGTGTTGTTCCACTGAAATGTAGGTGTGTGTGTGCATTATGTCAGAACAGGTTGATCTAGTTCTCAAGAACTCACGCACAATTATGTTTTTATTGCCCTCGACGAAATCCTTAAAGACCTGAATGACGTCTTCCTTTGACCGGGTCTTTTTAAAGTCTGTGTTGCAGGTTTCTCCTCTCTGAAATAAGAAAACAATGTATTGTATTGAATATAAAAACAAAAAAGTCAGATGAAGAGTTTTTACAAATCAGCAGATTGAGGGCAATATCTGAAATCTGATGGATTAAAGCGCTTAAAGACATTTTCCGTGCAGGTTTAAAAGAGCCCGCATGTTCCAAATTACCAGGTGGAAAGATTTATTTTTCATTGCTCATGCTTTGTTACTAAGCAGATCATCATTTACTGTGGGGATTGTGGATGAGACATCTCCTTAGTACCGGAGTATCCATCATGCCAAAGCCATGTTATGGCAACATGACATCATGACTTTTGCATAAACATGTCTATCTATCTATTTATCTATACGCATTTTGAGCTATCCGCGTGTATGCGTGTATGTCTACGCCGTTAAATGTCCGAGTGATTCCGCGTATATGTACACGCTGTTAAATGTCCGAGCGAAACGAAGCAAAATGTAGATCTACATCTGGGGAGTGACATTTTTTTTTTCCAAGCATGGTAGGGGAAGACTCATAAATGGTATTAACCCCAGCGACGGGTAGGTTTAGGGACGGGGTTGGGGTAGGTCATATATACACAGTAATGTAACGTTAAGTCAACGGCGTTCATAAACACGCAAAAATGGATATATGAATTGGCGTGTCATACATACGCCATTTCATGAGATCAGTCTGGTTATGTTATGTCTTCACCTCATATCATGACCACCAAACCAGAGTCTTATGTCAAGAACGTCATGTTAGAGTCAAGTCCTGTCATGAATGCCAATTCAGAGCCTCTTCATGAAATGGCCAAGCCAAGCATGGTTGCCAAGCCAGAGGATACGGAGCTTTTGTCCAACATTGAATTCATCAACCATGATGATCCTGGTAGTTCCCAGAGATCATGCCACTGTCAACACTACTTGTAGTGATAGCCACTGCTATTCTGTGTGTGGGCCACACATACACCTCTTCAGAAAGGGGGGCAGCGTTCGTAATATCCTCTCGAGGTGGCAGCGTCCATTATAACACCTATATTGAGAATGCAGCAGCTGTCATAGATGATACTGAATCTTCTGAGAACCTTACCACAGTCAAGGAGAATCATCCATAAAAGGTTTATGGATCGAGTCACAACCACTTTCCAAGTCCATCCACTTTTCTTGCCCCAGGTTACAACCAGAGAGAGCATTCAGGAACCATGTCTGTCTCAAATCACGGTTACAGAGACTATTCATGAACAAGTCAAGGGAGGCTATTGATGAACCGTCAGTACATGCCGACCATGTCATAGTCATGAATGATGTTCATGTTTTCTGATCCAACATGGCCTCCTGTTTCTACTCCACGATCCAGGCCTGCCCATGCTCTACAGTCATGGTATTTCATTGTAGCAGGACTTGAGCCATAAATCATGCCTTAACAGACCACTTCATGGTCCAGGCACGCCTTCCCTCCCCCTTGTACGCCTCCGCTCCACCATCCTCTGGGACTTGAAAAATGTTCTTGTGGTGTTTGGTTTGGGTGGCTAGAGACACGGGAATATGTAAGGCTAGTGTTTTGTTGGACTCTTGTTTTCATGTTTTTTTGCTTTGTATTTCATGTCATTATGTTTTCCATGTCATGTAATTTTCCTATGTACCCAATGTTTTCATGCCATGCGCTTTTGTTTTCTATTGTGTTCCCACTGGTCCATTGTTCCATTGCATTCAGGTGCTTCTTCAGGTGTAATGGTGAATCCTCGTGAACCCACACCATAACAAGTGAAGTTTAAGTTTAAGTTATGTTAATTTTTTTAAGTCATCGTTTTTTTTTTTTTGTTTTTTTGTACACTTTTGAAATAAACTGCAATTCACCTTTGGCTAAGCCACGCCCTAGAATGTAGATTGACCAATCACAGCGCAGCCAAGAACGAGCTCCCACAGAGGTCGGACACTTTTTCA